TTTAGATAGAACAAAATGAATTTTTGTTAATTATTCAATAACTATAAGAAATATACCCCACAAACTATATATATTTGTTATCAGAAGAAAATAACAAATTATTTTAAGTCATAGCCAACTATGGTTTCCATTTAAAAAAATAAAGTTACGTCTAAAATCTCGAAAATAAAAGATGGGAAAAAAATTCTACCTACGCCACTGAATTCTTCGTAAAAAGTTGCCCATATAATGTTTTATTTATAATACTCCATCTTTGATAATAAGTGAGATATTCGCGATTGTCGTGTTCGCAAAATTTTCAGTTTTTGCCGATAGGGGGAAAACAAAAGACGATAGCTGTACGGAGTTTTCGGCATTAGCATTTTCTCGAAAAACGAGATCATGACATGTAAGCTACTTTTTTTCTATCTCTTTTAGTTTCGGAGATAGCCTATGCGGACATCGAAATTGGGACACCCTGTACTTCGTTAAAATCGTATTTATCTAAAAATTTATTAGTATTTTAACATCAACTATTTAGTTATTGAAAATGTTACTAAAAATCAGAAAAACAACATAAATTTTATAAGGGTCCTAGATAATACCAACAGAAACCCTAAAAAATTTACATTGACAAGTATTATAGAAAAAAAACGAACTATATTAAAAGATTTTAAAGACTTACAATATTTTTTATTTACTTAATAATTTTGTTTATTTCTAGAAACATTTTGGAAAATCGATGGTTTAACCGAAGATTATCGATATTCATTTCGAGCTTTGGCTTTAAACGAATACGGTTGGTCAGAGCCAAGCGAAGAAATGGAATTTGATCCAACAACGGCGGCACTTTTGGCTGAAAAACCGGATCCTTTAACGATGATATTAATAGCCATTTGTACGCCAATCGTCATCTTAATCCTGGTGACCTGTCTGTGCATGTTATGCTGTAAGTTCATCCACTCGTGAATGAAATTCAAATTCGATCTCTGTCTTCTCCCTCATCTTTCCTCTGTCTGTGGCGTTCTCAAAAATTTATTTAAAAAAATTAATAATAATGACCCGATTTATCTAATGCACCAAAAATCTAAAGTCGTACTTACAGGCAGATGGGATTGTAGTAAAAACAAGAAGGACGCGCATATTATCGTCCCGATTAGTAGAAGACCGGACGTTGAATTGGCCACATTAAGGGAACTACCAAGAAGAAGTAATTTTATACAAAATACGAACGTATTGTACGTTTCTGCGCAACCTACACCCGATGAAATTAAACTCTTACCTCATATAAGAAGGTAAATTTTAATTATATTAATTAAAAAGAATTTCGTTGTAATTAAAAATTTCAGAGATCAAATATCTTTAACAAAATTCTTGGGAAGTGGGGCTTTTGGTGAAGTCTACGAAGGTAAAGCTAGAGGCATCAGTGAAAACGCCGAAACGAAAGTGGCCGTAAAAGTATTTTCTTTTTTATAATTTTTGAAAACAAAAATTAATAATGAAACAAATTATTTTTAGACGTTGCGAAAAGGAGCTTCCGAACAAGAAAAAACCGAATTCCTCCAAGAAGCCCAATTAATGAGTCATTTCAAGCATAAACACATCCTTCAATTGCTTGGAGTTTGCTTAGATAATGATCCTCATTATATAATTATGGAATTAATGGAAGGCGGAGATCTTTTAACGTATTTAAGAGCTTCGAGAAACACTTCTGCGTTAAGAACACCCCCATTAACGTTGGTAGAACTTTTAAAAATGTGTTTAGATGTAACAACAGGATGTCGATATTTAGAAGAGATGCATTTCGTTCATCGAGATTTAGCATGCAGAAATTGTTTGGTGTCTTCGACCGATTCCGCGAGTAGAATCGTTAAGATCGGCGATTTTGGACTAGCAAGAGACATTTATAAGAATGATTATTATAGGAAAGAAGGCGAGGGGTTACTTCCGGTGCGTTGGATGGCCCCTGAATCTTTAGTAGATGGTGTTTTTACATCGCAATCGGATGTTTGGTCGTTTGGGGTACTTCTTTGGGAAATTATGACTTTAGGACAACAGCCATACCCAGCTAGAAATAATTTGGAGGTTTTGCATTATGTTAGAAGAGGTGGGCGTTTGGGGAAACCAACAGATTGTCCTGAAAAATTGTAATTTTAAATTAAAAAAAATTTATATATTTTGACTTTTTTTTTCAACAATTTTTAGACATGATTTAATGCTTCTTTGTTGGAGTTTTGAACCGGAAGGAAGACCAACTTTTAAGTATTGTTTGGATACGTTAACTAAACTTCACGAACAAGTTTTAAGATGTCCGGTAACTAGTGCCCATACTGGACAATATATTAGCACTATTCCAGATCGTAAGTAATTAAATTGAAATTCTTGCAAGTCCACCTCAGCTTGTTAATTAATAGGCATGTTTCGTCAAAATTTGCATCCATTTTTTTAACTCGCTTTTCCAGAACCAGATGGAGTCACTAACCAGCTTTATTTTCAGGATTTCAATCATAATCATTCAGGTAATCGCAACCTAATCATTGCATTGCATCAATAACTCTCCAAATTAATAATACCACATCTTGAAGAGAATTTATTTTAATATTTTGTAATATTTATTTAGGTACTTCATGGAAAAGTGATGATTCCAGCCGAGAAATAACCCCATTTTTGAATTCCGATCAAAGTACCCCCGCTGGTAATGAGACATCAAATGGAATTCCAAAATACTTAGAGATAGTTTATGATGCAAACGCAGAAGATAATGACGGTTATGAAATTCCTCGTAAAGATGTTGTTGACGGACAAGTTGAAGAAATAATTGCGAACGGTTAAAGTTAAAATTGCTCAAATCGCTTCTGTTCATTTAAAAAAAGAGTAATGTAAGTATACAAATCGACAATCATTTAATAAAATTTAAATAAAAAGAAAAATACTCGAAGAATATAAAGTTAAGTATGTAGCTTTAATTATTTATAGCCAATTTCTGACAAAACAAAATGATAACTGTGATAGTATTGTGTAAATATTTCATCATTGAACAAGTTTGTCGATATTCGTTGTAGAATATTGTTTAGAAAATAAGAAAAAAGTCAATAAATTAAAAGTATTATAATTTTTTTTGTATGTGTGACAGGAATTTTTTTATTAATTTTTAAGGTTTACTTTCACTGCACCAATTTATGATATTATTTTATTTTCTATTTAAGTTACCTACTTATATTAAGCAAATCTAATAAAGAAACGTGTAGATACTGTATTGTTTTTTTGGTTTGCTTCAAATTATGTAAAATGGAAATTCATAATTTTATTAAATCTCATTCCATTACATTTGAAAACTCAAATAATAAACTATATAATTTAACCGTTTAAATCGCGCGTGATAGCCTTCAATAGCCTTATTATTTGCAAAGTCAAATTCAAATGTCAAATATATACATATACGTGTAAGTGTGCGTGTTTTCAAGACTTCAGCGACATCTACCGAATTGTTCTCCTTAACCCTAGAATGGTAACGTTCAATTCTACTCTATTATCTTTAATAGCAGATGGCGTCGTATATGACGCCACGTTACCGTTCTAGGGTTAAAAATACGAGTTTTGTTTTGCCTGGGCGATTTTATCAGATTTTACATTGAGAAAAGCAAGATTGTTGATTTTTAAGTGACATGTCTATTCTTAAATTATACCGAAATGAATTATTATGAGTAATATCTCGGAATTATCTTTCGTATGGAAGGTAAGTGAATTGTTAACTAAATTAACAACAATAAATGTAAAGAAAATAACACTTATCTTAGTCTGTTGGTTGTAGGTTAAATAAGTCCACGGTACAGGATTCAGGGATTATCAGGAACGGGAACCAAAATGATGTTTCTTCATGAGGGTTATTATTTCTTTTCTTTGGATCGGAGAAATTCTTAAAATCCTTTTTTTTTGAGGTTATGTCAACATTTATCCTTTTACATAACCTAAAACGTTGCTTATAATGTTGGACGAGACAAAACTTGCGTGCGTTCCCTCTCAAGTTCAAAATCAAACTAAAATTTTTAATTTTCCTTTGTTTAATGTTGAAATTGAAAAATAGTGTTTCCTGATTGGTCAATTTCATTAACTTGAAATTCGTTTTTAATATTTTCTGATATTACCAACTTTAACATTTTAAATGTCACTAATTTAATTTGATTAAATATTATTTAATTTTTTTTTAATAACTATGTTTATGTATGAAATCTTGTAGTTTTAATGCTTCTTTTAATTGCTTTACAGATATCTGGTCATTTTCTTCTATATTCAACGGTAAAATTCCCAAAATGCTTAAATCTTGAGATTATGAATTTTCATTTAAAACTTCATTAATTCACAAAAAGGACGGCTGTTTTGTATTCTTACTATGCTAAGATTATCATTTTCAATAGCTTTAACTGTTTAAATACGGATTTGAATAAGAAATTGAGAAAAAATCAATTTGAGGTTATCTATCTGTCAAAAAATTATATGTCTTTAAAATTACTTTGTATCGACTTTACATGGGTTATATACAATAGAAAACATCAACGGCCAATAACACATAAGTGAATTCATCAGTAAATAGTCTTTTATAAAAATATTTTTATAATTATTAACATTTTCTTAAGTTTAATACAATAAGTCTTTAAATCCTCAAAATAACGCTTATTAGAGTTATACAATGAGAAAGTTGCGTGTAGCCCACTCCAGTTAATTTTGTTACCCAAATAAAAAATTAACGACAACATTTATTATTCATTTTGAAACAACCAGTCATTATCAACATTAAAAAAATGACCATCTCCTTCGACTTCTTAATCCCAAAATATTTCAGAAATTACAAAGATTTGATTAAATTTTTAATCACAACATTAACTCTAACTCTCATATTAACAACGATAATCGTTACAAGTTATTTCCATTATGCTTGGTCATATTGGAAAAAAAGAAACGTTCCCCACGTGAAACCAACATTTCCATTTGGAAGTTTTACGATTGCAGGATTTTTTAAGAAAGGATTTCACTTCTCGATGTTGGAGCATTACAGGAATTTTAAAAAACAAGGAGCTAAATATTTCGGAACGTACGCTATTACATCTCCGATGTTGACAATAATCGATCCGGAATTAATTAAAACGATTTTGGTTAAAGATCACGATTACTTTTTAAGCCACGGACTTCAATACGACAAAAAAGATGTTTTCACATTAACACTGTTTAATATTGAAGAAAACGATTGGAAAGTGTTAAGGTCAAAACTTACAGCAACATTTTCATCGGGAAAATTAAAATCGATGTTCGAAACGTTAAAAAATTCAACAATACCGTTAAAAAAATTTTTAAATCAACAAAACCACCATGAATTTGAAATAGATATTTCTGAATTGTGCGGGAGGTTTTTTACAAACGTTATCGGAACTTGTATTTTTGGATTTGAATGTGATTGTTTTAACCAGGATGATGTCTTTAGGAGGTACGGTAGGCAGTGTTTTGAAGAACGTTTTGATTTAAAAATAAGAAGGGTTGTTGCTTTTACGGCTCCCTGGTTGATCAAATATCTTCGATTTAAAGTGTTAAAAAAGGAAGCTGATAACTTTTTTAAAACAATATTTAAGGATATGTTTGATTATCGTGAAAAAACGATGATAAAACGTAACGATTTCGTTCAAATTCTTTTAGATTTGAAACAAAAAGCTTTGGAAGAAGGTGAAATTGCTTTAACTTACGAGGAAATGCTTGCAAATTCATTTTTATTTTTTTCGGCTGGATTTGAGACTTCTTCGAGTACAACAACTTATTGTTTACACGAATTGGCTCATCATCAAGAGGTTCAAGATAAAATTAGGGATGAAATCAGGTTGATTTTGAAGAAATATAATGGATTTTTTTATGAATGCTTATCTGAATTTAAATATATGGATCAGGTTTTATACGAGACTTTAAGAAAGCATCCTTCAGCTCCGACTATTCCTAGAAAATGTACGAAAGATTACCAGATTTTAAACGGTCCTGATATTAAGAAAGGAATGAAAGTTTTTATTAACCCATTAGCTTTACATTGGGATGAAGATTATTTTCCTGATCCACAAAAATTTGATCCTGAACGATTTTCTGATCTAAATAAAGACAACATTCCTCCATATACATTTTTACCTTTCGGTATTGGTCCTAGAAAATGTATAGGTAGGTTTTGCAATAAATTAATAATTTAATTTTTAACGAATTTTTATTTTCAGCTGAAAGATTTGGAATAGCGCAAATAAAAGTGGCACTCGTAACAATTTTATCAAATTATTCACTAAAACCACATTCAAAAACCGATTATAAATTGGATTATAACAAAAATAACATTCTTCTGATATCTGCAAAACCCATTTATGTAAAAATGGAACGAATTTTTTATTAAAAAAATAATTATCAAACGTCTTTTGTATTTATTTTTTATTATGAAGAAACAATAGGATATAAAAACTTATATTTTGTTACATTTCATTTCTTCATTATGCGTTGGTTCTCTCTCGTTTTGTTTTTACTCTGTATCGGTTTGTATAAAAATAAAATTATACATTTTCTTGGTTTTGTTCATTTAATAAATAATTTTCATAGTAAATTTCTCAAAACAACTCCCAAAATGTTTAAAGATATGCCCAAGAATCCTAGATCCAGTTTGCTTAGTGGGACCCGATGGGGATGAAATTGAAATAGATAACGATTGCTTAGCAGATATATGGATATGTAAAGAATCTGGAAAAAGTAACGATATTTTAACATAACATATTTATTTATTATTAAACAAATTTTTAGGTTACCGAATGATTAGGAATCCATGTGAAGACGATGATGATGATGGTGATGGTGATGATGATTAATTCCGATTATTAATAATAAAAATGATTAACCAAAAAGGGATTTTGTCTGTTATACATTATACTAGTGGTGGAACGGATATCCGGCAACTATCCGTCCATTTTTTAAAATCTATTACTTAGTACTCCACCATTCACAGGAATTAGTATCCCTTTAGGTGTTGGACATTGCAGATAATAAGTATAATAAGTATCCTCTTTTTAGAAAAAAGTTTATTTTGTATCTTGGATCCAAATAAGTTGACATATCTTATCAGCTTTCTTATTAATTTCATTTTTATTCAAATATCGCAATAATAAGATGATAATCCTGTCCATCTATAGGTCTCTTGACGGCGACATAAATACCTATCTAAGTGCCTTAAACGAGATCCTAACTCACATTGATGAAAATTATCCAAACTATAAACTTATAGTATCAGGAGACTTCAATATCAATTTTCTGCATGAAAGTGTCAATAAAGCCGACCTATTAGAATTGATGAGGGAATTTGGACTGCAACAAACGTTTGACTCACCCTCTAGAGTGAATAGAAAAACTAGTAGTTGTATTGATAATATATTTTGTAACCTAAATAACAATTGTCTAAGAAACACCACGATGCAGCTTCACATCGGTGACCACTACGGACAAATACTGATGATAACCAACAAAGATCTAAAAAAGGAAAAAACACAAAAAATTAAAAAAAGAATTTATAACGATAAGAACACTCACTTTTTTAAAATCGCTCTTTCCACAGTGGATTGGCAGCCTCTCCAAAAATCCGAGAACGCAGGTGAGTTGTATGATGTTTTTCATAATATATTCTGTGCAGTCTTCGATGATTGTTTCCCGTTTGCCTATAAGAAAAAACGGAATACTAAATTTAAAACAATTTATATGTCTAAGGAGACTAGAAATCAAAGGGACACACTAGATCTTTTGGGGTGGCTGGCCTCTGTAACTAGGTCCAGAGAATCCTACGACAAATATGCTCAATGTAAACAAAAGTACTTTGATCTCTTAGAGAGCGAAAAGAAAAAACATTACACGAGAAACATTTTAACGGCCGATAATAAACAAAAAAAGATGTGGGAGGTTATTAATAAGGAACGATCCTATCATCATGCACAAAAAGAAGTAGGAACGAATTTAACTGCACAAAACTTTAGTAACTACTACGCTGAAGAAGTTGAAAAACTGGTAAAGGGTTTGAATCCGACAACGACGAGTTCCAACGTTTACGTAAAGAATACAGCAAGAATTTTTTCAAAAAGTCTTTACTTTAGTCCCTGTACCAAAGACGAGATAACAAATATAATTAATCATTTAAAAACCAAAAAGAGCGAAGATGTCTATGGACATTCAACAGCTGTTGTAAAGAAAGTTGCGAATGAAATCTCTGAACCGCTTTGTATGGTTTTAAACAAATGTATTGAAGAGGGAGTTTTTCCCGAAAGGATGAAACAGGCCAGGATCGTTCCAATTTACAAAAAAGGAGATGACAACGATTGCTCAAATTACAGACCGATTGCCCTCCTTCCAGTGTTTTCGAAAATCTTCGAAGAAGTAATAAAACGCCGACTAATCAGCTACTTACAAAAAAATAAAATATTTGACGACAGCCAACATGGTTACAGGACCGGAAGATCGACGATCACAGCTGTTACCCGAATGATACGCGATGTCACGGAAGCTCATGACAATCGAGAAAGCGTGGAAATGACCTGTTGCGACCTCACCAAAGCTTTTGATACGGTGGACCATAATCTATTACTGGATAAGCTCGCCTTTTACGGCGTACGGGGATCAACACTAAGTCTAATGAAATCGTATCTGAGTAACAGAACACAATATGTCGCTTGGAATGGTTCAATATCCGATGTGAAAAACAATAGATACGGTGTACCCCAAGGATCAATCCTGGGACCGATCTTATTTATACTGTATATGAACGATCTTCCTCGAAACATAAAAAACTCAGAAACGTATCTATATGCGGATGATACGTCGTTCGTAGTAAAAGGGAAAACGAGAGAAGAAACACAATTGAGAACTAACGATGTCTTAGAAGACGCGTCTGATTGGTTGCGAGCGAACAAGCTCATCCTCAATGAACAAAAGAATCAAAAAATTAACTTTCTCACGAAAGGAAACTATAACGTGGTGAACTTTCTTGGCTTGAAGTTGAACAATCGTCTCACCTGGGATGACCATGTGAGTGCCCTTTGTAGAAGACTCGCGAGTGCAGTTTTTATGGTGCGAAGATTGGTGAAGTGTACCGAACCTGAAGTAGTAAGAACAGCATATTTCTCTTGTTTTCATGCAGTGGCCTCATATGGCATCTCCATTTGGGGTTCGGGTCCGGGAATCAACAGGGTGTTTAAGCTACAAAAGAGTTGTATCCGCACTTTGTGTAATCTAAAAAATTTAGAATCATGTAAAGAACATTTTAAAAAAATTGATATACTTACCGTGCCCTGCATGTACAGGGTGGTTCAAATTCGATGTCCGAATAGGCTAACTCGAAAACTATATGAGTTAGAAGAAAAATAGCTCACATGACATGATCTCATTTTTCGAGAAACTGGTAATGCTGAAAACCTCATAGCGCTATCGTCTTTTGTTTTTCCGCTAGAGGCCAAAATTGAAAATATCGTAAAACCCGCAAACGTAATTATCTTGGTTATTATTATAGGTGGAGTATTATAACTAAGACATTATATGGACACTTTTTTACAGAGAATTTCATGACGTAGTCAAAAAAATTTTGTCGGTTTTAGATTTTGAGATATTATCACAAAATTCGTTTTTTTAAATGGAAACAACCACTGATTATTCGCTTAATAAATTCGTTATTTTTTTCTGATTACAAAAATATAGGATTTGACAGGTCTATTTCTTATTGTTTTAGAATAAAACTAAAAATAAACTTTTCTTTTAGTGTTGTCGAAGAAATTAAATTTACAGTTTCCTGTAAATTACGGTTCTATAACTAAAAATTAAAAAAACATATTTCTGATATTTGAAACAAATATATTTGTGGAACTGTTTAATTTATATATGTAATT